GCTAGATATAGGGTAGTCTGGTATATAAAAGAGGGTGACAACGTGACGGGAGAATAATGTAATGTGTGTGTCGATAGTGAGTAATTGAACTGCAGTCACAGGGTATTGTTGAAGTTAACGTTCGTTCGTTATAGTGTTTGTTTTAGCGCGAATATTGAAAATAAGTGTATCGTAAAGTTTTATTCGGAAAGAATAAACCAGTTTTATTAAGTAAAGACTTGTGTCGCTAAAGTTTCGTCGGAACGAAGTTACGGAAAGTTAATTAACAAACGGAGACGTAACAAAATTTTAACATCTATTTGTCTGCCACGTGTTGGTTGTTGCTTTTGACTTATAAAACAAACTGGATTGTGGATATCCAGACCAGGGTTATACTAAAGAAAGTGTTGCAATGCTGTTAATTTAGGATTAACCCCATCTATGTTGACTAATTTATGAGATTTGTCCCAATTAAAAACTAAGCATACCCAATTCAAAATGGTTACTGTTGGATATACAAGACAGTTTAGTGTAGGTGCTATTTAGCTAATTTTGTGACTTAATATTTAATAATTGTTTAGTTTTAAGACAGGAGTGTTGAAGATGGATTGTTTTAAAATGTTAGTTGTGACAAATTTCGTTAAGTAACTATGTACGAGTGGTAGTTGTTTGTGCAATTACATTGTTGTCTAGGCTTTATTAATATTGTTGACGTCACGTTACTCGAACCTTCGGTATTTTTATTGTTACCTTAATTGAGTATTGTTAAATCATCGTGTCGCGTAGTTTAGAGAAAGTTCGAGGGTGAATAATATATAAATATAGGCGCCCAAGCGAGCGCAAGTGAAGTGCAGTTTAGTCAGAAAATTAGTTAGCGAAAGAAAACGTGAAACTAGCGAGCGTGTGAGTGATTAGCTATAACAGGCGATATTTTAAAGTAAATTCACAGTTTAATAGAGATAAGGAGAATAAGTTGTCTTGTCAAAGGATGTTCTAAAGTTTTCTACTCTTATGACAATAGTATCTCTGAATAATTTATTTAAGCTACCCCGTGGGTTACCACAGTTGTATTTTGATCTTCAAATAATTGTCTCATTTTCATCAAAGTCCATATAGAAGGGTTTAATTACTTTAGAATCCAATTGACAAGACGAACTATTTTTCTCTTACTCTTATGACAATAGTATCACTGAATGATTTACTTAAGCTACCCCGTGGGTTACCACAGTTGTATTTTGATCTTCAAATAATTGTCTCATTTTCATCAAAGTCCATATAGAAGGGTTTAATTTTTCGATACCCGTGGTGGGCAGAGCACAGATGGCCCTTGTGCAGCTTTGTGTATAATTCAAAACAAACAAACAAACTTTACTTAGTTAATTCTCACTTGTAAACTGACAAACCACTTGAAAAAGTTGCATAAGCTTCACTTTTGTGAAATGTACAGTGATCTACGTAGCTTTTGAAAGTCTGATAGGATGCCTTACAGTATGTGATGTAAGTGTCAGGGTTTTGTGTATATGTGGGCGAAGGATTCTTCTACAGAATGGTGTCTGTGACTTGTTTGCGATAAATTCAACAATAAACGGACAGCACACACTCCACTTGTTTTAAAATAAGTCAAGTTATGTACAAAATCTCAAACTCTAAATGATTCTTGTCAA